TAGGTAGGTAGGTAGGTAGGTAGGTAGGTAGGTAGGTAGGTAGGTAGTAGTAGTAGTACTATATATAGTAAAAGAAACATTGACCTGGTTGTGTGAGCCTGGCTTTAGTTGGGGGGATTCTAGTGCCAAACTAAATGATTGAGGCGTTAAGCCACCAATAGTACTTTAAAGCAATGTTCCGAGGCTTTGAGTGCTCGGATGCACTAGGGGAGGTTTATAGTACTCCTATATTTGCATGACTTCAGGTAGTAAAACTTGATTCCATTTCCCGGTATTGTTCCTACGTCAAGCACTCAAAAGGTCAACGAGGGGTATATAAGCAAACGAAGGATCCCACAGATCCTGTCCTTTCGTCGGGTCCGCTGCCATGCTGCCATGCTCCACATCATCCGCAAGCAGCTGCCTGCATTCGCTGGAACTCAGGTACCCTGAAAAACATGTGGTTCAAAGACATGAAACTCTGATCAGTTCTGGTGATCCGATCGTAATGGAATGTGAGTTTGACGCTTCTTATTCTTGCAAAAACAATTATTCTACTCAAACTCCCTTTCTTCCCCGCAATCTACAGAGCAAAGGAAGAGAAGGCTCAATCAATCTCCTTGCGCACAATGTATTGCCAAATTGAATGCTGCCATGCTGAAACAAAGTGTAGCATTGAAATTTGTGCATCAAGTGCACAGCTGTCACTTACCTTCTTCAACATGTCATACGACAAACACATGAATTGAACACCGGCAATATGGGCAACCTTGCACTTTCAACAACCAGAACAAACATGTGTACATGCAAGTTAAACAACACAGGCATGAAATAAGATCTTCAGAATTTCATGTAGCAGGTCAGCAAGTTGATTCTGTTCACCGAATCCTCTATTTATGTGGCTGCACATGAACAGTTAAAACTCCAATAAATATAGTAATTCTGTCCCAAAACATGGTCCTGTCACACTTGCCCATGGAGATTTTTAGATGGTTCTCTCACATTTAGCAGCACCCTTCATCAACTCATCAACCATTTGTGCTGCCAATTCGCTTTTGCAGGCGCTGGAGGTCCAATATCTCCCCCAGTTCGGGGGTGGCGCATGGACCTTGGCTTGGAACAGGTAGGAAACCTGGCGAGCTGTGTTTTCTGCAGTACTATATATATGTCTAGTTACTTTGATGCGATCCACAAACCTGTTGTGGAGAAATGTCAACAACATATAACATCAAACAGTGGAACCTGCGGGACACCAACTCGTTTTTGTCTGCCAAATGCTCTGAACCTCACATCCCCTCCCTGAAACAACCATGGAAGGCCCTATCGAACAGGATCGGACTCCAAGGGGCCATGCTACCGGGTCGATAGGGCGAAGAGCAGGGTCAACACCGAACCGCAACCGGTGTGTTTGCACCAGTTGCGAAGCAGGCGACCGGGTCAGATCACCATGTGCCTTCGATGTGCATTTGGGTGACCCTTTCAAACTGAACCTTGGGGAGAAGGACAACGAAGACCCATTGGTTTGCGACGGGCAAAAACATGGGTTGCTGATGGTTGCTGGCTATTCTTGTATCCGGTCGTGTTTCTTTTTGGCCGAACACCAGCAGCGACTACCAAACGGTGCGTTTCTGGACCTGAATCCATGTACCTCCAATGGAATCCTTATAAATATACTGTATTTGGTCATCAATCACCACACAACAACTACAATTTCTACGAACTTCTTGAGTCAGCAAAAGGCTTCTTCTCCTCCAAACGCATTCCACACCTGGGCACGGCTTGGCTGCCAGCCACCCGGGTAGAGCTTCGGCGCGGCGGCGGGTGCGCCCGGCGCTGCGCTCGGCGCCAGGGATCGGTAACCGCCGTTGACCAAGTCGGCCAGGCGCTCCTGGTTCCTGAGATCAAGGCAGGAACCAACTGGTAACTAGGGGTTGAAAGGGGTTGAAGACACAATGAAAAAAACAAAACCTTTCATTGTATGACAAAGCAACACTTTGATACAGCATTTGTACAACAAATATAATGTGTATCTGCCGCCCAAGGAGGACATTGTAACACCACTAACAAAAAAATGCTACGAATCTGAAACTCGAACCACAAGATCTTGCTGTATCAAGATTTGATTTTACCACCAAAAAGAACCAGCCCTCCGATCTGACACTGATGGCTCAACGCCATTCACCAAGGCTCAACGCCAGCTGTGCCTCTTTTTGCGCCACCTGATGACTGAGCTCAATCACCGCCTCGAATCATGGTGAAGCAAGGAAGAAAACAATTAAACAGACCAAGCCAGCTGAATGGACTCGAGGTCCATTATGAAAACGTTGTTCCAGTCCACTATTGAAGTATTTTGAAGTCTCCTATGCCAATGGAAGCCACATGGAAGCCACATGCGTCCTTTTTCCGTTGAGATTCTATCAATCACAACGTCTGAAAACTGTTCGCTGTTCCCGCTTGTCTATTGTTCCTGATGGTTGGCATGTCTTTGTTTATCAACTTGTACATGTCAGTGTTGCTTTAAAGATCCTTCTCAGAAACATCCTTTGCCACAGCAAATGAACACAAAAAACAAACATGTTCGTTCAGGTCCCCAGCACAATTGATTCGCAAAGAAGTGCAGGGCTGCTTCCCACGGTGGAGTTGTGGGGAGCTGGAGCACCGATTTCTGCTTCCAAAGCAACATCAGTCTCTCGGTCGGCCTCACGCATAACCTGAACCTCTTCTTCCCGGCGCTCATCAGCCTTCGCCTATTCGTTTGAGGGTCTGGCGCAGGGCCCAAGAAAAGGGTCCGGACTAGAAACAGGATGGAAAAGGCACCGTCCAAGTTTTCTGGTTCTGCAAACTCAGACAAGTTCAGAAGGTTCCGACCCATACAATCAAGCTCAAACCTCTTCTCGTCGGACCCCTAAAAATCAATTTTTTTGGAGGCCAGCTGGTCACTTCGGATCCCAGCCATTGCTCCTCTCAGTTGATTCGCCTGCTCTTGGCCGGTGGAGCGTGCTAAGGCCGTTTCCAACTCCAGCACCCGCGTCCTTGGGCCCAAATGAGGGATCTCCCGATGCAGTGGCTGGGTTTCTGTGGCGATGACAGTGGGTGCGATGATGGTGCTTTGGAAGAAGTTGTGCGCTAGTTGCTGAAAGGCTTTAATTGTGTGAAGCCAAAAAACTAATTAAAACATGTCCTTTGTAGGGGACAAAAGCTTCCCAGTTCGTCAAAACTAACTGCAAGACAAAACCATATGTTGCATCGCAGTCGACACGGAAGGGAGGAAGAAGGACGCCCTTGGCCAATGCCAAGATCTCCAAGGGGCTGAACGGGTCTATACTGGCCGGACAAAGGGAACATCGCGAACTATGATATACGGATATATACGGATCTGTTTCCTTCTCTGGGACAAGACTTCTGCTTGGTCTGCTCCGTCAGTGGCACTGCATTTTGCAGATCGCAAAGTGTCCGTTGGGTGTCCGAAGATTCGCACCGCACAGGTGTGGGTCTACCTCATATCGAGATGTGCTGTTGACGGCCAACCTGTGCGAACTCTCTTTTCATCGGAATTTGCAAGTACCGACAATAGTGGTCTGCAGCATCTCCTGCAATGGTCCCTCCCGCTCTCACACCCTTTGCGCCGATCTGCGCTGCCACGCAGACTTTTGAGTACCGAGACTTTTGGGTCTAGTCTAGCTACAAACGTGTCATCGGGATCCCCTGGTGGAGTGCTTGCATAAGCCAATGACGCCAAGGAAAACCGGATGCCTTCCCGAAGCCAGCACTGACGACTGACGCTTCCTGAAAAAAGTGTTCGAAGTTGAGAGATCTTTGAGGGAGGCCATGGGAAGGTTGTTGCTTCAGTGAAAGGCACTGACAGGGGATCCGCTCGACGATCTTGTTCGAGGCACGACACCCGTCTTCGAAGGGGACGTGGCCTTCCTGTATTTCTCGGCTCAAATCGTCGAGATTTCGTGCCCGGGGCCGGGACGATGGTGGGTGAAGGCCGACGCATGTCTCCGGCGCCACGCAGCGCTGGTTGCGGTTGCAATGCTTCGCAACACTGTGCGGCTGGTCTCTTTACGACAGGAAAACCCTCTTAAAGATATGAGGAATCCAATTTGCACCTCACAAATCTCACAACTAACAGGGAACCCCTCCAATGAATTTGCTGGGTACAAGCTCTTGCAGCGACTGGACCGAGAATGCAAGGTTGCTCATGTTCGTTGCCACCTTGCCAAACCCACCAAACCCCAATAATGAAAGATACCCCCATAAAGATAGAGATAGAACTTCCAATCCGTCCTGTCGGATTGCATTTTGCTTGAGCATCTTGGGTTTATCCCCACCACTTGGTTTATGCCCACCACTTGCAACCTCTCATGTCAAAGCAGCTCAGAAAAAATAGACTAAGGCCGACAGATCTTGCAGGTTGTTTCATTTAAGGGTCAAAGCTCATTCCCATGTTTCACATTCATGTTGGGATCGATAAAGAAGTTGCTGCAAAAGGGCCAATTCGAGTCTAGCAATCAATGGACACTCTTTGTAAGGGCACAAGCCAGGTTCTGAAATGGTACAGTACGTAGAATCTAAATACCTTTATACAGTTTTAAGTAATAACCGGCTACCTGACTCTAACTTGGAAGCACATGATTTTGGAGAGTGCCCCAAAACATATATATATATATATAGTATAGGTCAAATTATCTCATCCTTTTGGGAGTAGCCCTTGACCATCAGCCTTTGACCATCTTCCACCGACTCGTTCCCACCCCCAGGCTCTTCAGACTTCCAGGACGTCGGATCATTGGATCGAACCGCACAAGGGGCAGCCGAACGTTGATCCGGGCCTACCCGGAACTGGAGGGATGCAGTGTGGACGTTCGAACAAATGACGTTCTGTATGGATTAAATGGTACCTGCAATCTCCGGTCACGGCAAATCTCTGAGTGCATCCTTCCAGCGACACGACACGCCGCTTGATGGCCCGCTCGCTTCGCCGCTCCGGTTCATCCGATCCTCGACCGTATCAAAGCCTGTATGCAATCCTCAGGCGCGCTCCAAACGTTTCGGCTCCGCCGCGAACCGCCGCGAACCGCGTTCGGGGCGGGTGACCTGGCGGCCCCAAAAATGGCGTCTTTTGGACGCACACACACACACACACATACCACGGCTTCTGCCTCGTGAGCAGCTTCAGTTTTTGTGACATCCACTGACACCCACGATCGATTGCCCGGGCAAACGTTGGAAGAAGTTTCTGCGTTCATCAAGACAGCCACTACATGTTTGGGGTCATTAAGTCGTGAAACACAATTATCTAAAACTATTACAGTAACACTAGCAAAACCTAGGCAAGACTATATCTCCTGAGATGGTTGGGGTGGGTTTGGGAAGTCTAACCACCTTCTGAGGATATGGTTGGAAACCTAGGGCTTAAAATGTGATCAGCTGCTGCTCTTCCACCCTCGACAACAATATCGCACATACCAGGTATGTTTGCTGATTTCCCACCTCTGACACGTGAAGCGCTATAAGGCTCTATCTGCATTTGCCAGCACGAGTGGCGTGATCTGCTCAGCTTCCATCTGCCTCAGCGCCTGACACCGTCCAATGGGAGACCTCCGCCCATTGAAGTGTTCTGGTGGATTGAGAGTAGCTGGCACAAGGGACGCAAGTTCTGGGGTGTCAAACGGGAACCCCACTAAAAGACGGCCATCTGCGCTGAAACCAGGGGTGTCAAACTGGGGGTTCCCTATTCATAATTATATAGACACAATGTGGGGGTGCGTCTCGACATTCTGTTCGGGATGCCCTGTCAAGCCAAACTAGCCCGAGTTTCGAATTAATGCGGTACGTTAACTTGGCAAAGGTGGTTTGGATATTGTGTCATTGGAATATCTTCAACCTCCTACACCGTCCACCACCTCCTCGTACGCTATGGTACGTATTTTGTGGGTCGTAAATGCCACATACAGCGTGATGGGCATCCAGCCCGCATGACATACATCATCTACAGCATCCTGTACGTACTTTGCCGCGTGCGCCGACCTCATGGAGGAACACTGTCGACCTGGAGGCTCCAACGTCGAACACCCCGCGCGTCCCGCCTCCCGAACCTTCAGGGGCCGTACGGGATTCTCTAAGATCTCGATGGCCTGTTAGTTAGGGCGCCACCAACGGCCAATATCAATCGAGGGACGCTCCCAAAAAGGGGAACACCTGGGGTAGTAAATCATTTCAAAGGAACACCTAGCCCTATAAGTTATATATATTCTAAATTGTTACATATTATGTTATAATGTACTATACGTAGCTTCGTCAAATCTCATCAATCACATGGTTCTCCTATGTTCTCCTATTCATGGCAACGCCTCGGAATCTTCGAGATAAAGGCCAGGGAAGATGCAAATTTGACTCTCCCCAAAACTCAAAAATAGATTTTAGTCTTGAGTCTTGAGAGAGTTTGGGGAGTCTCTGTTTGTCTTGTTCACTGGGTCAATCCGCCGGTCAAGCAAAGGCTTCTAGCTTTCTAGTAAACTTGCTACTGAGACTCTGCTCACGATGATGACCCCGTCAGAACTCCTGCTTCATTCCAAACACAGCCACCCGAGCCCGGAATATCCAAAAACATTGTTAAGTTCCACGGGTTTTTCTAGTCTGCAAGCTTGCCGGAGGGGGCCAGCGACACCAAGCCAACCGGGCTCTTGTTCCGTTGAGGCTTTTCCCTCTATCAAAGCACCGAACCTAGCACCTAGCAGCCGAACGCCACCCGCGCCACCCGCGCCACCCGCGCCTACCCGCGCGAACGCCCGACGGCCTCGGCCCAGCCATGCACTTTGGCCAAATCCAAGGCTGTTCGGCCCTTGGAGGTCTGTTGGGTTGGGTCGACACCTGCACGGAGTCGAGGCGGTCGGACAGAGGTCCGAGTGGAGGACAATTGATCAGACTGGGAATCCGAAGAGCCAGTTGGGGGGAATACAAACGATTACAAACGTGTATACAAAACCGTTGAACACCCGAGTTTCTTCTTTCTTTGGAAGCAAAACAGCAGCTTGGGTACAAAACCCTACCAAACCCACTGTTTTTGGGACTGACTGACTGTTCCTCATAGTTCACAAGTGTTTAATTCTGCAGATATTCTGAGCCTGGACATGTATATAGCTCACCTCTGAGAAATGGAGACTCTTCTCAGCGGAAGCAGGTAGTCCAAGCTCTAGGCACCCCGCTTGAGTAAGACCTTGATAAATACGACACATTGCAACACTTGCTGTAATTGCCAGGCCAGCTGCTGCCATCCAGGATACTTACTACACACCCTTGAAATTTGAAAGACACAATGTATGTCCAGCGCACAAACCGGGAACAAACAATTATACGAGGCAAACGCGAGCATTTTGAAGAAAAATTGGAAAACGAGAAGACCGGATTTATGGATTTGTCTGCTAAGTTTGGCCCAGTGTACGAAACATGCCAGGTTTCTTGCAGAGCTTCTAGAGAGCTTCCGAACAATTGAAACACACAGCTTTGAAAGGGTGACCTGCATGTTATATCATAACTACGATAAATGGCGGCATCAAAGCCTAAAAAATTGGAGATATGCTGAAAGTAGTCAGTTAGCAACGATCAATCGACTGGGTTTGAAGCGGTTCTTTTCAGTGTTGGTCGTTACACCTACTCCTTGGAACACCATCGTCTTCCGGTACACTGGTATCCTGGGCTAGGGCGCGGTTGAACGATCTGGTTTACCGCTCGCGTCCGTAGGATCGCTTCCGATCTGCCGCTTACAGTTGTTTTCGCTACAATGAAACCTATGAGACCGGGGGTGCTGGTGGCCCAACTTAGCCAAATATCAGGAATGCCTCTGGTGGCCCCAAAAGACCTCCAAAAAGCCGCCGCGTGATCGGTGATGCCAAATTCATCTGGCTCCATCCGCCTGCTTCCAGCAATTGTCGGAGGATCTTACCTTGGTCCCCACAGCTTCGGCCCAGACAAAGGACTCCAGCTGGAGAACCACTCACATCATACAGCACGATGCGTGGGGCCAAAGACCCTTGATGAGAACCCACTTGGACGAACACCAAAGATCTGGGATTTAATTAAAGGTGTGATCCCTGTCAAGTGGATCGTAGAATTTCACCAGAATAGCGCAACCTCAACATAAAATTATATAGACTGTTCAGCCCTGCTTGACAAACAATTAGATTATACCTATATACATTAGGATTTGGTTTGGCTCTGCTGCATCAGAACTCTCCCAAGTTGCATCCTTCAAACCGACATGGTGAAAGGAAAAGAACAAATACATAATATATGTGCAACTATATGTGTATATATAATATACATGTATACAGTTAATTAATATATTATTATTATAATATATATATATTAAAATACAGGCTGAAATATACAAGGCCAGTACGGCCAAATATTTTGCCGCAAAGAACCACCAAAAACGCACAAACAAATGGCCGTGGCTGGTCATACCGTGTTCTTCTTGGCAATCAAAATACCAACCGATCCTCCAACAGATCCTCAAAGGTGCAGTGCATCAGCGAAGTCGTTACGATACAAAGAAAATATCCTTATTAAAGCAGCTAGAAACCGGGACATCAGATCCTCGAATTCAGCACTGCGACGAAACGAGCCGTTCGACCTCTGGAAAGGAGCTCCCACCGACGGTCCGTTCTCCCGGTTCCGAGAAGCAGTTCCCACGCTCCGCCGCCACGTGGATGGGACACATCGACTCGCTGGGACCTAGGGGAAGACTCGTTGAAGGAACATCCAAGATATGGATCCAAGAGATGGTAAGATATGGTGAGTTCTGGCAATCATGGTAATAATTCGTATGGAATTACAGGAAAGTATTCTATACTTGGACATCATTCCATGAATGATTCCATGGAATACGGAAGGGTAATCATACACTCCATGTGTCCCTCCATTTTCTTGAAGAAAACGACATTATGGGCTCCCAATGGATCCTCCGCGCGACGTATGAACTCCCAGTCTGTCACGGCCAGTTGGCACAAAGGTCAGTGTGGAGGCTAAAAGGAATATAACTATTACATATACCTACATCTTCAAAAAGGCTGAAATTACGGCCTGAGCTCAAAAATCAGCCTTTTAGCTCTTCGGGCTGAAAATCAGCCTGCGGGCTGAAATTGTTTTTCAGGAGAGAGTTTTTGTGATATAAATATATAGGATTTTTGTGATTTATACTCGGGCAGGAATACCCGGGACTCGGGCGGGAACACCCGCGACTCGGGCAAGAATTGCCGGGGAGCTAGTTCAGAGAGTTTAAGATGGGGTAAGCCAAAACTTCCCAAAATGCACTCGGGCGAGTTTTCAAGAAAAATCCAGAAGAAACGCCCTCGGGCAGAAAAGCTGCCTGAACACAAAAAGACTGAAATTACGGCCTTAGGTAGATGTAGGTATGACATATTAAGGAGACCAGTCTGGGATAGAAAAACACCCAGGTACTTAAGATGGTTTTCTTTCTCATCATGTTTGTTCTTGTTCGCCTTTCTGGTGTCTGAGACGAATCCGAACAGACTTACCGAACCCAACCACCCCCGCCGTTGGACCCGAATCCATCGGCTGGAGGACGAGAAAACCATCGACTTTCCATTGTGTTCCTCGGAGTCGAGACACCATCGGGATGTTCAGGCACCTGATAAGGCAAATCTGCCGTGACGAGTTCTCAACGCCGCATCCCAAGTGAAAACGCGTTCTGCATTCGACCAACGGTTAAATTGGGTGTATAACTGCAATGAACACGGAAAAGGACCTTCCAACCACAAGGACCTTTCGCCGTCTTAGACACCGGAAACCCATGCGGACGTTGGTCACCGGGCAAATCCCGCTGAGTCATTGGACTCGATCATTACACTGCATTCTTGCAACCCTCACTTTCGACGTAAGGGGAGTATAACTTGGGTATATCACAGTAATTAACAGTGAATGATGATAGTAGATATGGTTAGCAATGGCCTTTCTCAAACCTAGTGATAAATAATATATTGTTGTTCGACTCTACTAGTAATGGGCCTAATGGGACACACCCTAACATATGTTTTACAAGTTGCACTGACTGGTCATTCACCGAGTCAGCAAGCCATGCAGGTTGTCCATCTTCGCTCCCGTGACGGGTCGCGTCATCACCAAGGGACGGTTAAACACGCTCCATCCAAAGCAGCCCGTCCTCGATGTCCGGAGTCGATGCATCCGACCCGGGTGGACCGCCCGGGCCGAGTCACAGCGACC